CATGTCCCCGGGAGGGGGCTGCGTTCCTGAGGTCTGTTTCCCCGTCCAGCGCCAGGTGGCCCCGTGCACACATCAGGCCTTCCCTGCCCCGACCTCTCTGCTAGGCTGGAAGGGACACAGGCATCCTCAGGATCCAGATGAACAGGGCCTCAGCCCACCGGGCAGTGTCTCTACACGGCCCCCTAACACCTGTGCCCTGCTCAAACTCAGCCGCCCAGGTGTGACTCTGCGTCCCCCTCTGCCATCGGCCACCAGCTTGGGATCCTGGGGCCCCGAGGCCAGCAGCCCAGCCTTCCTCGGGGGACCAGCACCCACCTGGACTGGGAGCCGAGCTGCCTGGTGCTGGGGGACGCAGCCTGCTCGGAGCCCCGCCTCTGCCTGGAGAGCCTCCCTCCACGCCCACACCTGCCCGGCACCTGCCCGCCTCCTCCCTGCACAGAGCTGGGCGAGTTTGGACCCGCCGGCAGGGCCACCCCCACCACCCTTGGTCCCCTGGCTGTGTGCAAAGGCTGCTCAGCAGCTGGGACATCTGCAACAGTGACATGGAGACAGCCCCACACAAGCCCTCGGGACACCACCCCCGGCAGTGGCCCCAGGTCAGCCCTGAGGACGGCTGGGGGCAGACACAGCCACTCCCTTCCTGGCTGCAGCCCCATGAGCAGGTGCCCGCTTCCACACCTCCATCAGCAAGAAAGGCCCCTCCTTCCTCCAGCCTGGCCCCTCCTGTCCACTGAGCTGCCCAGAGCACATCTACCCCACCCCCAGGTGGCTGCTCAGGCTCTAGGACCCCCAAACACTGCAACTGCTGTGCCCACGGTCCATGATTCCACAGGACTCTGGCCTGGGCCCTCCTGCAGAGCACTGGGGTCCAGCAGGCCTGGGTGACCCTGTCCTGACCCTCAGCCTYGGCTGCAGGCCAGGGCAGCTCATGTCAGATTCTGAACTTACATACACGTCTGGGTTTCACCGACGTCTCCAGCTCTCTAGACCGGCTCAGGGCCGTCTCCCGGCTGCCCCAGTCCATCCAAATCACCCAGGGCTCTGAGACCTATCAAGAGCAGGGCCTAGCTCATCCCCTGCCACGGGTGAGCCGTGGCCATCGGGTACTGCAACCCAGGGAGCTCACACACCAACTCCTCTCCAGTGTCCTGGTGGACTCTGTCCTCCCGAGACCTCAGCTCACATCAGAGCCGTGAGGGCCAGGCCCTCTGACTGGGGCTAGCTGGCCTCCTTGGTGTGTCCTGCAGCTGGGCACTTGCCTGTGCTCAGAGGGCACAACACTGGGAGATGACGGAGAGTGAAGGCCTGGAAAGCTGGACCCGGGCTCTGCATGGCCCTGCRGGGACACACCGGGGCATTGGCAGAGAGAGGAGGACAAGGGCTGGCCAGGGACGCGGCACCTGCCCTCATTGGCCGGGAAGCCTTTGGCCACTAAGGTTCTTCAGAGGCCTGCAGCAGGACCCCAGCCRACCACCTGCAGACCCCAGGGCGGGCAGCGGGGTCAGGGATGGTGAGATGGGGGTCAGCATCGCAGGCGACAGGGTCCTTGAGGGCCCAGGACGCACACGTTGGTGTTGACTCCACCTCAGTGCAGCGCAGGGACAGCAGCGTCCTGTAGCTCAGGAATTTCCAGTGTGCCTGGTGGGAGGGGACACTGCAGCCGAACAGAGTCCACAGAGTGAGCCGGGTGTCAGAGGTGCCGGCCCTGCACCCCCTCACACCCCACCTGCCTGGGGGACCAACCTGGTGGTCTTGGAGCTGGTGTGTGAGCTCTCTGGGCCGCTGCGCCTCTCGCCACAGTGTGGTGGTCTTTATTTCCTGAGTGACTACCGATATCAAGATATTTTCATGGTCCTACTGGCTTTTTGTGCATTTTCTTTGGAGATATGTGTAGCACCGTCTTTGCCCATTTAACTGGGTTGTTTTATTGTTGTTGAGTTGTAGGAATTCTTTATATATTCTGGATCTTAATCCTACCTAGAACAGATAAATTATTTGAAAATATTTTCTCACACAGTGTTYTGTCTTTTCACTTTCTGGATACTGTCCTTGGAGGTATCAAAACTTATAATTTCAATAAAGCTCAATTTATCTATTTTTTCTTCCACTGTCTGCACTTTTAGTATCATATCTAAAACATTGTGGCAAACCCAGGGTGCTGAGACTCTTCCCATCTGTTTTCCTTCAGGAGCTGCATAGCTTTAGCTCTCACATCCAGGTCCTGGGGTAGGGTTTTAATGACTGGTGGCACAACCTTCTGCCCCAGGCAGCCCTCTGCCCCTTTCTTGACCCTGGTCTTCAGTCTGCKCTTCTCCTGAGAACAGATACCGGGCGGCGGGGCAGGCAGGAGCCTGAGCCTTCTCAGAAGTCCTGCCCCAGGACTGTCCCCAGGGCCCACAAGGGCAGCATTTGCCCTTCCGACGGGTCAATGTGGGGTGGGCCTCTCTTCCACCCAGGAGACCTCTCGGGACCTGCGCCAGGCCAGACCCCCAAACACAGCACCCGTGCCCCGCGGGCCTGTCCTCTGCACATCGTCTGCCGGTTGTGGGGACACCATCATACACCACTCCTGACCCCAAGCCTCTGGAGAGGGAAGTGACCTTGGAAGTCCCGTGAAATGCCCTGTGCTTCTCACGTGGAGGCACGAGCCCCACCCGGGCGCTCCAACGGCCTCTCCTCCTCAGTCAACAGCTGGGAATGAGGCCGGGCCACCCAGCCCGCCGTGTGCAGGGACCAAGARGATGACGTGTCTTCTGAGCACGGTTCACCTTGGGGGCAACTCTTGGGAAGAGGGAGGAGGCCCGAGGAGGTGCAGCGGCCTCTCTCTCAGCCTCCAGGACTGCCCGTCCAGCCGTCATCACTCTGGAATCTGACTAGCTTCCTGTCGCCGGCTCTGCTGGCCTAGTCACTCTGTGCCCTGGAGAGCGGCCTGGACTTCTGAGCCGCCTGCTCACCGTGGGGCGGCAGCAATTGTTCATGAGGAGTGGCTCCCCAAGGCCGCCAAGCTCAGCTGACCTGGTCATGGCCTCTGAGGGCTCTGTCCAAATGTGTCCCCTGCAGGTGCTGGGCCAGAGCTGGACCACACAYAGCCCTGTCCTGGATCCAGGTGTGGGCACCAGCTCAGCACAGCCAGGATGCCACCTGGTGCCAGGGCTGACCTCCCCGGCCATCAGCATGTCTGTGCCAGCCCCAGTCATCTTCACATGCCCAACACAAGCCACTGTGTCCCTGTGTCCCCACAGAGTCCCAGCACTATCAGAACCGTGGGTCCGCCTGTCTGTGGAGGGTCTTTCTCTGAGCAGAGGCCCTCGGGCAGCCTGTGGGTGGTCAGCCGCAGGCAGGAGGGGAGGTCCCGAGCGAGGTGTGCGGTCGGCACACGTGGTGACTTTCCATGCAGCACAGGGACTGAGGACGACAGATTCACAGGCCACTCCACTTTGAGCAGCTGCAGTCCACTGACCACTTGTGGGTCACCCAGTACCACACCGGCAACCAGAGTCCTCTATTCTGCTCCCCACAGAGGCCTGACACCCATGTCCACAGGGCTCCCAGGGAGTGCTAGAGGCACCCCTGGGTGCCAGGGCAAGCTGCCCAGGGAGGTGCCCAGCCTTGTGTGGGTCTGCTAGTGCCTGAACCTGGAGCGCTGCTGGCCAGGACTCCMAGAGACGGTCCCAGGAACCTTGGCCCKGAGGCCTAGTGGTGTATCTGGCCAGAGGCCCACCTGCCCTTCACGGAGCACTGTGGCCTTTCAGGGTGAGGTGGGCAGGAGCCCTGGGGACAGCAGGAGGACCCCAGGCATTCCCTGTGTTCTGCCTAAATTTGGGGTCTAAGGAAGTGGCCTGGCCGTGTCAGACCCTCCTCGGCAGATCCTGACCCACTCAGTGCCAGCCATCCCCACCTGGTCCCGCCTGGCCTGGCCTGCAGGCCCTCTCCCACTCTGATGGGTTGGCTCCAAGAACTCAGGTCTTTAGACAGGGAGGCCCCCACCCAGAGTCCCCGCACAGGCTGGCCGCTCTCTCAAAAGGTATGGCCACTGCTGATGCAGGGCCTGCTTCCAGGGGCTGCCCACTCCCAGGAGGGCTCCTGCCAGCAGCAGCCTGGCTCAGGGAGGCCCCAGCTTGGTGGGATGCCGGCCCCCTGCCCACACGGCCAGGCCCAATCCTGCGGCCCAGGYTGGCGCAAGGGTGGTCTGCAAGGAMACCGCCGGGGGCAGCAGGGCCACACCTTCCTCCTGTGCTCCCCCCAGGCGCGGCCCTGCCCTGGCACCAGACGCACCCCCCACAGACCTTGTGCCACTCCCCGGCCGGGGCCCACTCCCTGGCAGCCCCTCACGACGTGGGTGAGCAGAGAGGAGAGCCACCTCCCCCACCAGGGTCAGGTGTTGTGCAGGGGACAGGTCACCCTGGAAGGGCTCAGGGGGTGGGGGGACTCTGCAGGGGCTCGTCCAGGCACAGGGCTGGGAAGACAGGGCCTGCCCTGCTGCGTGGGTGGCTTCCCCCCCTCAGGCCTCAGCCCACCACGGAGATGGCCCCGGCACTGCGGGTCAGCGGCCTTCCACACGTCCTCACRGCTGCAGGGTGAGTCTAGATGACGGACGTGCTCTGGGAGCCAGCTGCCCTTGGGAGTGTGGCCTGCACAGCCTCCTCCTGGAGTGACCGGGAGGTCTGGGCAGAGGCCAGCCCTCCTGGTGTGTTGCTTAGGAGGAGAGCTTCACGCCAGGTCTCTAGGAAACACTTCCACCAACAGCTTCCCTGATGCCCACGACAACCACGAGTCGGCTCCTGTTTCCAGGGAAACCCAGCCCTCGGCGTCCTGCTGCCACGGCCACACCCATGGCTTGGTGGGTCTGTGGTCTCACCCAGGCTGGGCAGCGGGCTCTGGGCTCAGAGAGCTCGGCGCTGYGGGGCGCTGCAGGGCTGAGAGCCGGGTGCTGTGAGCCCTGGGAGTCTCACCGGGAGCCGGCCCCYGCCTTTCTCTGAGGTCCTGCACTCTGGATGGCCATGAGTTCTTCCTCCAGCGAGCCTGGCCGTGGGGACCCCGCTGAGCAGTCCCCACTGGGGCTGGACACCGTGATCCAGGTCAGTGAGAGCAGGTCCCACTGGGTGGGACCCTGAACAGACGGGGGCAGCTGTGCCTCCCTGACCCCCAGGGACGCTTTCCACGTGCTCATGGGTTCAGCTGGACGTGAGCACACAGCAGAGGTGCGCAGGGCACGCTCTCTCTCCCTCTCTCTCTCTCTCTCTCTCTCTCTCTCTCACACACACACACACACACACACACACACACACACACACACACACACACACACACATACACACACACACACACACACACACACATGGACCAGGGACCTGCTGGGTACACTCAGAGGAGGAGACGGCCCAGCGGCCAGCCCTCCCTGCTCCTGGCTGCAGGAGCTTGGTCAGCCCCTGAGCCTCGGGCCTGCAGTCTGCACGCTGCAGCGGGAGGACGGAGGCCCTGCTGACCTTCCGGGCAGTYGGCTTCACTGTGGCCAAGGGCAGGGGCCAGGCAGCTGTCCTTGGAGGGTGTTGCCGTCTTTCTCAGGGGTCCCCAATATCTAATCTGCAACCTCCAGGAGYTCTGTTTCTGTTGGTCTTCAAGGCAGGCATCACTCCCCACGTCCCTCTGCCCCCACTCCTGCGTGGAGAGCCACCACTGCCCGMGTCTGCATCCCTCCCCCAGCCTCACACACCCAGCCTCCACGATGCTGCCTCCACCTGGTTCTGGTGACCAAGGCCAGCAGTCCCTTGCCCTTGGGGCTCCAGTGCCCCTGAGATGGACCAGCTGACTCAGAGTCCTCCGACCCTGAGAGCCACCCTGCCGGGGGTGACATGCCCTCAATAAGCAATGTAAGTCCCCTGCAAAGATAATCGCACACAGGTGGTGCCAGGTGGCTAATGACATGGTGGCGTCATGGTGCCCACAAACACTCACACAGAGGAGCCCACACAGGGACAGAACACAGCCCTGCAGAATGTCTGAGTCAGGTGACACAGAGAACTAGAAGAGTGCCCTGGGTGGGACTTGCAACTGCAGGGCACGCTGTCCAGCTCCGTAGGTCCCCGGGGGGCGGGGGGGGAGGCCACGCTGTCCATCTCCATGGAGCCTCAGGGTAATGAGGATGAAGACAGGTGGCCAGCCAGGACAGTCCTTCAGCTCCTGTGTGGGCTTCACTGCCCTCTGGGAGCTGGGGAAACTGAGGCTGGAGGCTGGCCACGGCCAACTGGTTTGAGGGAGAGATCCAGGTCGATKCCCGATGACCTGGGTCATAGTCCTTGGCATGGGACAGGGGGTGCTTCTGTCTGCCCACTGTGCCTGGCAGCAGCCATCTGGAGCCAGACAGAGCCTGGTGGCGTCTGCTCTGCCCGCCGCCCCGCCAGCACCTGGCGTTTGCACTCTGGAGATTGAGATCTGGAAGCAATTACCCCAGGTGAGCAGGCAGCAGGTGGGCGCCACCAGATCCCCAGATAGGCCCAGGCAGACGGGTCGGCTGGGCCACAGGCCCTCAGCCCTGCAGCTGCCCGGGGAAGGGCTCCTCCCGGGAAGAAGYGGACTCCTGAGAGGCACCCTTTTCACTCCTGCTCATTCGTTTATTGGTCCCTTTCTACTACTTCTGCCTTCGATTTTATTACGTGTTTATTCTTCCTTTTAATCTCTGTGTTCGGTGCTCACCTAAGTCTCAGGTGTGTGCCTGGCGGTGGGTCTGCGCCTTGCTTTCCTTCTTCACGCTCTTAGTGATGACATTCGCATGGTGTGGAACTTGCCCTTAACCACTGTTCAGGACCCTCATGTGACTAAGTGACCCCCACGACCGGCCCCAGCACTTCCTCTCCCCTCCTGGCCCGTGCCCACCACCCCATCTCCAGGGCTGACTGCTCTTGGCTCTGGTCTCTCTGACTGGCCTGTCCACTGAGCGGTGTCCTGTGCTGCACCCTCAGCCTCGGTCAGAATCTCCTTTTGGAGGTGAACCACACTCCACCACGTAGGTGGGCCACACTCTGTGCACTGTCCTTCCGTCAGTGGGTCTGGGCTGCACCCGCCTGCCGGTGGCTTGAACAGTGACCCCGTCCACAGGGTGTGCACAGCTATCAGCCTCTGGTTTTGTCTGGGGACTCACACCTGAAGGGACATTGCTGGGTCACATGGTGACTGGGTGCACTGGTGAGGGGCCGCCACTCTGCCTGGTTGCAGCTCCCAGGGTCACCTGCTACCCGTGTGTCCTCTGAGTGAGGCTCCCTGTGGGAACTGGCTCTGCCCACACCACCCCTGACGCCAAAGGTGTGGATTCTGACCTCCAGCTCTGCATGCCCCGGGAGTCCTCCGAGTCAGCTCGTCGCCCTACCCAGTGCTGGCACTGCCCCTCAGGCAAGGACGCAACCCCACACGACTGCCCCTCTCAAAGGCCACTCCCAAGACTAGCTGCCCTCTGACCTCCAGCTGGCCACACTCGGCCCTCAGCCTCGTAGCTCGCCTGCTCAGCTCCCAGAACCCAGGATGCTTCACTCACTCCCTGATGAGTTACTTAAGGGACAGATGCCCAGGGCCAGGTGTCTGGAGGGGAGCCAGCTTGCCCCTAGGGTCACCCTCAGGCCCAGAGGCCCTCCCACCTACTTGCTAGTGTTCTCAGGAGTTCCACGGATTAGCGGACTGGCCCCTGGTGACCGGCTCAGGCGCAGCTCCCGAGGCCTTGGTGCTTGGGCTGAATGCTTCCCACCCTAGTCCTGCCCTGGTCATTCGCCAGCCAGCCCCACTCTGGGGGTCTCTACCGCCCACACACTTATTAGCATACAGGAGACTCTCACTCAGCTCAGGAGACTCCAAGGGTAATTGTCCTGGGGCAGGTGTCCTGGTCCACCAGGATGGGAGCTGTGAATGGTCAAGAGAGGCCCGGCCAGGGGCCAGCCTCCAAGCCCCTGCACTCGCAGTGCCCCAGGGAAGGGCCTGCCGCCCATCTCTAGGTCTCCTGGACACAGTGGTGGTGGGCGACGCAGGTCAGCCACAGCCTTCCCCTGGGGACATGGCCCTGTCCCCCACAGTCCTCCTTGGAAGTGGCTCCAGCTCTCGCCCCTGTCAGGCCACGGCTCTCTCTGCCTCCTCCTCCCCAGGGGTGCCCGGTGCTCTGGCGGTGGGACTCTCACTGACCTGGCCCTCCCGAGCCTGTGTGTCKGTCGGGGCCTGGCCCTCCTGCACATTCCTGGCCGGCACTCATTTTGCAGTTAGTGATTCATACCTCGGTGCCTCCAGCTGGGCTGTCAGCCATTTGGGCCTTGAATGAGTMTGGGCCTGTTGGCATGCCCAGCACTGAGCAGGCCCCTCCACCTGCCACACCTGCTTCAAGCCCAGCCCCCGGCTTCAGGAGGCCCTGGGTTTGCTGCGAGAGGAGGGAGGACACCCACAGGAAGCCGCTCCTGCCTGAGCAGGGTTGGGAGAGCCAGAGCCCAGCCTCACCGCACAGGACACCCCTTTTCTAAGAAAGCAGAGTGCCTCCTGCCTGGGCACGCTGCACAGGGCCACACTGGGCAAGGGCAGCAGCRGGCCTCCAGCAGGCCCTGGGTGGGTCAGAGCCACGGTGGCCTCCCCGGGGCCATAGACACAACTGTTGTGCACAGGGCAAGAGAGCAGCAGTCCAGCTGTCTGTCCAGGCACCACCGTGGGCATGTGGGAGCCTAGGAGCGAGTCCCAGCCTTACCAGGCACTTTTGAGCAGGTGACCTCACCTCACTGGCCTCCCTTTCCCCACCCAGGAGGAAGGAGCCTTCGGCTCAGGTCAAGGTCAGGGGTGTGAAAATGTCTGCCGGTGGGGAATATTAAAACCTGGACTCACCTCCCTGCCCCACGCATGGTCACCAGTGTCATGGTCCTCAGGCAGCTGTAGCCCGGAGCCCAGCCTGGACTCCCAGGAGCCCCAGGGGCAGCCTCCTGCAGTGCCCCAAGCAGCCACACAGGGGCGCTGTTGGGGCTTGGTGGCCCAGCAGCAGCTCCACCCCTCCAGGCAGAGGGGCCAGGGACAGCCCCYGGCGCTCCACCCCCGGCTCTGCCATCCCAGTTCTGCTCCTGCAGCTGGAGGGTTGGTGTCCTGGTTGTGTTGGGGCTGCCCACTGGACAGCCCTTTTCCCTCAGTGATCTTTACAGGGTTTGGTGCCTGGCTCGCTGTTGCTGTCTGCCCAGGGGTGTCCACCACCCAGGGGTGTCCCTCCTTCAGAGCCCAGGCAGGGGTTCTAAGCACAAGGCCTCTGCCTGCCCCTGCCCTGAGCAGGCGTGGAGGGCTCACTGTATGCTCGACAGGTTCTGCTGTACAGGGGCCTCTACAGGGCTGCCTCTTCCTCTGTGCCCTGCACCCCTGCCACATGAAGACCCTGTGGGTCCTCAGAGGAGCAGCCCTGTGCTCCTGGGACTGTGACAGCTGCCCAGAGGGGTCGTCCCGTGGGTGGTGGGGCTTCGTGTGCACTGACTTTGCACCGCCCTAGGCTCCACTGGGGAGCAGCGGCCAGCCCAGCTCTCTCTGCCCAAATCACCTGCACCTCCAATCACTGCCCACCACCCCCAGAGTCCAGGTTCTCTCCCCAGCACACCTGGGACGAAAGGTGCTGGGCCCACCTGCAGGACAGCCTGTGCACACCAACCCCGCTGAGCCCCACCCCTGGGGAGCGACTGGGCTCTGCCCCAGTGAGGTGCACTGGGGCTGTGACCCTGGCCCACCCAGACCTGCCTGAGGAGCCCACGCTGCCACTGGGCAGGAGCACACTGGGTTGGCTTCCTCCTGCCCACCCAGCTCTTGACTCAGGCAGCTGCCCAAGCAGGAAGGGACAGGGGTGGCAGGGGTGTTGGCAGCTGTGAGGGGCCAGTGCCCCTRGATCTGGGCTTGTAGGGACCCTGCCCTTTCCCTACCAGTGGATTTTCTGGCTTCGTGTCTGAATTCCCTTCTGGGGCTCTGGCCCCCTCCCCTGACAGTCTGGGAGGACCATCTGGAAGTCAGGCCTGGGGTGCAGGGGTGGGGTGGGGTGGGGGAGCGTGCACCCCCCTGCAGGGGAAGAGCGTCTGCATGGCGAGTCCTTGTGCATGGAACGGGGCCAGCAGGGGGCACAGCCTCCTCCCTTGGCCCCTCTTGGGGGCTCCAGGCCCTTCTGGCCGGTCTCTCCACTGACAGCATGGAGCAGCTCAGGCTCCTCTCACCCCCCTTTCAGGGATCTCCAGCCAAGAGCCAGTACAGGGAGGGGATTGGGGGCAGAGGCCAAGCCCACCCCCAGCCCCCAGGCAGGGGCAGCCGTGCAGAGGGGCCTGGGGCCGCAGGARGATTGGGGTGGGAACATCTCTTGCTGAGATTGGAGCAGCGCCCCTTCCCCTGGGGTGGGCAGCTCTGCCAGTCTCCTTCCTGCTGGGTTCACTGTCCACAGAGCCGCAGCCCRGGGGCTTTGGGGCCCCAGAGGACCTGGATCCCCCTCCCAAGTTTAACAGCTGGGACATAAGGTTCAGGAGGGTGGGGACACATTGCAAGGCCACAGGGTACACTGTCACCCGATACAGCTCCCTTAGCAGACCTGCAGCCCTGACCCCCGCAGGAGGAGAAGATAAGAGTGTCCCCTCCACAGAGCCTGAGGGAGACGGGAGACAGTCATGGCCTGGGGCTGTCCCCACTGGGTCTCACACAGACCCCTCTGTAGGGCCGTTGGTGGGTCTGTGACCTCTCTGGGGTCTTCAGTGCTGGCTAAGCCCCCGAGGGCGCTAGATGCCAGGTAAACATGACCCGTTCAACTGTGGTCAGGGGTCTTCTGGGAACTGAAGTCCTGTCCTGGAGTCCTCTCTGATTCCAGCCCTCCCTCGGGCCAGGAAGGGCTGGGGGTTGGGGCCGCCATCCACCGGGGGCTGCAGGCCACAGGTGCAGCACAGAGGAGCCTAGGGGTGGGGTGCAGACCGAAGCTGGTGGGCGCAGCCCCGCGACCTGCCAGAGCGCCCACCAGCTTCGGACTGCTGTCCGGGCGCGGGGGGTGGGGCGGGCAGCTGGGGACCCTCAGGGCCTCCCACCCCGTGCCCTCCCGCTGTATCTGGGCCGCGGCCTCACAGGCACCCGGCCACAGCTGGAACCCATTACGCCCCCAGCGCCTCCCGGGACGCTCTGCTAATAAGCGACCCTCTGTAAACGCTAGGAATGAGTCAAGTCTGAGCTGTGCTGCGCTTTCCCGTTAGCGGGTGGCGCCGCCAATGCCCGGGGGACCGTAGGGGCGGGCGCACGAGGGAGGTGGAGCCGGCTGGACCATGATCCTGGGTCTGCGGTGCTGTGTGCGGGCCTGTTTCCCCTGCACAGAGTCGGAGGCCAGGGTCCCGTGGCTGAGCCCCATCCACCCCCTTTTCCTCTTAAGAGGACAGAGAGGGCTTGGAGCCAAGACACCTGGGGCCTTGCTGGGCCCAGGAGAGGGGGCAGGCTCCACTGGCCCTGGGCCCATCCTGGAGCCTGGCTGAGCTTCCTCTGTGAGAATGAGCAGGGGCCATGCCCAAGACCTCCCAGGGACTGAGACCCTCACCCCTGGGGAAAAGGAAGTAGGGGTGCAGCTGAAGGGCCAGTCAACCTGACCCTGGGCTCACACCCACTTGGCATTGCCAGGTAACTGCCCTTCACAGGGCTGCTGGGGATCAGGATGGGGCCTCTCCAGGAGCCAGGCAGAGCCTGGGTTTGGGGTGACTGCTAGCGGTCTGTGGTCAGTGCAGGAGAGAGGCGTGTGTTCAGGGGTCCAGAGGGAGGAGGCAGCATCTGAGGGACAAGCATCCCACTCTCCCTTCCAGAGTTGGGCACAGTGGGAGGACCCCTCTGGCCGTGCTGGCCTTCGATCCCCCTCTGTCTGTGAGCCCACCTGACCCAAGAAGCTGGATTTCTCTGCTGTGGCCCAGAAACAAAGGCGCCGGCCGCCCAGCACCCCAGAGAGGACAGCTGTGACCCTCCGGCGGTGTCCGATGAGCTGGCTCAGAGGTGGCACAGGCCTGTGGGCGGTACTGGATCCCTGTCTCCATTCTGTGTTGCAGGTGGTGACTTGGGTGACCTGCTCAGCCTCTCCCACCCTCCCCCGGGCACTTTGACCTCTTGGGTGATGGTGGAGGACTCCCTCCTCTGGCTCCTACGGGTGCCTGGCAGGTGCCCATATTTAGCACCACAGGTGTCTCTGGGTGTCTTTCAGAGGCTGGAGGCCACCATCCTCAGCCCCACGGCCAGCAGGGAAGATCGGGGACTCACTGTGCGAGGGGAGGGCCGGCAGGCCTCGCCCACCCCCCTGCCTGCCCGCATCCGTGAGATCGTGGCCAGCAGCCTGCGTGAGGAGCCACCCCAAGGTGAGGGAAGTGGGGCCTGATCTGGGCTCAGGCCTTCCCCACCCAGAGCTGCCTGCGGCCTGCAGCCCTCCACAGGGGTGCACCACCCGAGGGTGGGGACCACGTAGGTGCTGGTGACACACTTGTGACCATCAGCCTCGAGATGACACCGTCTCCATCTTTCCCTGGCCCCCACCCACCCGGCCCTGAGCCTGGCCCAGCCCCAGCCCCTCCCTGCTGCTTCCTGTCACGCTGCTGCCGAGCATGGCACCTGAGGCTCGGTCCCTGCACAAGGCCACTTGAAACTCCCTCAGGACAGGGGTCCCAGAAGCCCCTTTGAAGGCTGAAGCTCTGCCTGGGTTTCTGGGGGACCCCAGCGCCCACCCTGCAGGCGGTAGGGACAGAGAACACCACTCATGTTTAGAAGAGCAACTTTGTACTCTGGGACRAGGTCCTGCCAGCCTGTGGCAGGCAGCCCGACTCTGGGCGCCCAGCACCGGGGCTGCTCCACACCCCTGCTGGCCTCAGCCTGACCGTGGGTCTGGGTGCACTGAAGATGTGGACCGGAGGCAGGGAGGCGAGGAGGCAGGAAAGGAAGTGGACCGGGACCACCCCCCTCCCAGAAGGCCCAGGCAGGCCCCACAGTGGGAGGTCAGGGAGGGTGCTGGCCTTGCCACCCAGCTGACCAGGTGCTGTGCCCACAGGGGTGCTGGAGCCACCTGCTTCTCTGGTCCACATGCATGAGGAAAGGGAGCTGCTGCAAGAGGAGCTGGCCCGGCTGGAGGACCTGCTGGCCCAGTCAAGCACCGAGCAGGCAGAGCTGGCCGGCAGGTACCAGGCTGTCAGCCACAGGGTGAGTGCCGCTGGTGCCTGGCAGCCTGCCGTGCAGGTGGCGCTGTGGTTTACCTGGCCATCAGTAAGTCTCAGGACCACAGCACATCCAGGCCCCGGGCCGTGGACGGGGACACTGAGGCCAGGAAAGTGAGACAGTGCAGGGCCAGGCCGTGTCTTGCTAGGCAGCACCCACAGCAGCCGCTTCCRAAGCAGAGCTGAGCGTGGGGTGGTGCAGGGCCTTCCTGAGCTCTGTGTGGCAGGACAGAGGGGGTGGCCGCTCACCAGGGCCACGAGGGCCACCTGGAGGACTCCCCAGGGTAGATGGCAGCATCTGTTCCCACGTGGCTCCCACCCTAGGAGCTCCTCAGGGCAGGGTGCCGAGGGCCGTCCTGGTCCTGCCTGGGAGCGCACAAGCCCACCCCGCCTGCCCTTCCCTCCAGCCCCCTGCACCCTTGGCAGGCCTGGGTGGGTGGGGAGGGGAATCTTCTTCCTAGCACTGGGCGGGAGATGTGGGAACAGGCCCAGGGAATTGAAGCCACAGAAGTCCTGCCACAGATTAGCAAACCGTGAGTCAGAGCKCGGAGTGGACTCAGTAGGGCTAGATACCTCCAGGCTGGGCCCCCGGGACCCTGCCTTCCTCCTGCCCTCATCCCAGGCCTTCCCCCAGCCACRGCTGGCTGGGCCCTGGGTTCAGGTCACCAGTAGTGATGGTGTGGCCCTGGGTGTGATTCCTGACAGCCATGGGTGACTGCCTGAATGTCCCTCAGATCACCCACAGTGCTGCTCTGGGTTGGCCGCCTGGGGACCTGGGGCCTGGTCAGGTGTGTGTGTTCCTGCCCTCTCTGGACAGGGCCTGGGGTGGAAGACAGTGCTGGGAGGTGACCAAGGCTGGAGGAGTCCTGGCTTGTGCCCTCTGGGCAGGGGGGCAGGGTTCGTGGCCCAGAGCTGCCCTCAAACCCTCCACTGTGCCCCTGAGCCCCGAGTCCCTGGGTACCCATCTGAAGTGAGCTGGAGGAGGGTTGTCAGGCCCCTCTGGGCCTACCAGGCCAGTGCTATTTCCAGGGAAGTGTGGGGTCAGCTCAGCCAGGGTCTCCTTTCCTCCCTCCTCTGCTGGCCACAGGTGCTGGGCACAGGGTGGGGTGTGGACAGCCGCCATTGGGCCCAGACCCCACCCAAACCCCATCACAGACACCAACTCCTGCCCAGAGTGGGCTTTCCAAGATGCCCTGCCCCTGCCCAGCAGGGTAAGAACCACCGGCCAGGTCTGCCACTCCTGTCCAGATGCAGGCCCGCCTGGAGGCCACCCAGGCTCGGCTGCGGAGGTCAGAGCTGCAGCACAGTGTGGACCTGGAGGAGGCTCTTGGCCGTCTGGAGGCCGCAGAGCAGAGGTGAGACCACAGCAGGCAGCCAGAGCTGGACCCCTGCCCCCAGACAGCGGAGCTGCTTCCCCGTGGCTCCTGCAGACAGCTTTGTGTCAGCCCTGCCTGTGAGAGGTGCTGGAGGCCRGGGCAGGGGGCAGGGCAGGGGCGGGACCGCTCTCCCACATCCTGTGGCCAGGGCCCAGCAGAAAGCAGGCAGGGTCAGCCCCACTCTGCTGTGCACCTTTCAGGGGCTCTGGTGGTGCAGGCCCCCCCTGCCCAGCCTCTGAGGGTGGCCACACATTGGCCCGGCCAACCTGGGACACCMCTCTCTGGCTCTCCCTAGGGTTCAGCCTCAACTCCTGGGAACTTTTGGTTTCAGCCTCTGATCACAGAGCTCTCGCTCAGCTCTTGTTCACCCTAACCCAAACCTGCACCCCAAAGCAAAGGCAGAGCCCCAGCACTATAATCCAGCCCCAGCACTAACCCAGCCCCAG